CCCACCAGTCCCTCCCTAAAAGAACATCAGTACCTCCCTAAAGTAACATCAGTACCTCCCTAAAGAACATCAGTACCTCCCTAAAGAACATCAGTACCTCCCCAAAGAACATGCAGTACCTCCCTAAAGAACATCAGTACCTCCCTAAAGAACATCAGTACCTCCCTAAAGAACATCAGTACCTCCCTAAAGAACATCAGTACCTCCCTAAAGAACATCAGTACCTCCCTAAAGAACATCAGTACCTCCCTAAAGAACATCAGTACCTCCCTAAAGAACATCAGTACCTCCCTAAAGAACATCAGTACCTCCCTAAAGAACATCAGTACCTCCCTAAAGAACATCAGTACCTCCCTAAAGAACATCAGTACCTCCCTAAAGAACATCAGTACCTCCCTAAAGAACATCAGTACCTCCCTAAAGAACATAAAGAACATCAGTACCTCCCTAAAGAACATCAGTACCTCCCTAAAGAACATCAGTACCTCCCTAAAGAACATCAGTACCTCCCAAAGAACATCGTACCACTTCACGTTAAGAATGGTTTGCTGTATATTCCAATTGTTCTCTTCCTTTAATTTCCGGGTTATCTTAACGTCTACGTGTGAGCAATGGGTTGTAAACTGACTGTATTGTCTCAGAGACCTTTCTCATCTGGCTTTCAGTTTCTACACACGCTTGCATCCAATCAAAATCTTCAAGTGCGATGTAAGGTAAATATCATGGGGAACTGTAGGTTATTTGAGCCAGCCACATGGATTATTTCAATGGACTAGGAGTCAATTCCTTGCTAACTTGATTTATTGGAGGGCTACTGCACTACGATTTACGAATTATCCATCCATACGCATATGCACCTTTCATACACTCCAATTGACCACGTCAGTCGCCACTTTTTGCCTTTGATAAATAGAGACAATTTCCCTTGTTTCGATAATTTCAATATCTTTCTCTATCATCATGGGATATCCTTTTTCTACTGTATTATGGTACCTCATCAGTTCGATTCCTTTATCCTTTCACATTTTCGGCTTATCTGACACACTTAGAAATCTCCGTCCGCGCTTTTGCCCTTGAACCCCATTGGTCGACAAGCCTATAACAGCATCATGGCCGACGATGGTTTAAAAAGGCGTTATGGAGACTAGTTATTCAGTCTTATGGACTGAAGTTGCATGAGAAGGAACACAGACGCACAATTGGGTCAAACAAAAGTCTATATCAGAAATAAATGCCGCTTGTTCCATTTCGTAAACCATAAAGCTGTTTGGGGCTTCGTGGAATTCATGATCTGCTTCTTAATTATTTCATTGGCTGAGCGAACCCCGATTCTATTTTACTTTTTAACTGCATGATCGATTAAATTTAAATCTTGCGTATCTTCAATTTGTTCGCAATTTCCACTTTTTGGAAATTTTTCCATTGTGACTTAAGTTGGCCCATGCCAAAATAGTTAGCTAAGTGGTGTCTACATTATCAGAGTCTTCGCTGATAATAGTTACCATCAGATGCCCTTCGGGACTTTTGCAAACGTGTTTTCTGACTTTGACGAACTATTGTCGCACGATACTTCGAAGTCTAGAGTTGGCAACACAATCATTCTGATGGTTCATACCTAAGAGCGAAAACCACCATGTGCGAAAGGCACAAACGACAATAGACTTTTCAGTTTGCAAATATGTGCCTGAAGATCCAAAGAATACGATTATTGAATAAAGCTACATTTAGTAGAGTGGTTTTCGTTTGAGTGATATGTTCACGAGTCTGCTATGAATTACTTAAGTCTTCACAATGGATACTGCTTCGTTCGCTAAAGCCATGTAGCATATTGTCACTATTTCTTTATTTCGCTGAAGAAGTGTCACTATGGAATGAGACTGGGGAGATGCCGATGGAAGTAATTCAGACTTCCGGACCCTCTTTTTTGGCTTGTATCTTCTTTGCTTTCTTCATCAGTTCATGCTTTCAATACTTATAACTCAGCGCCTTCAAATGAGAGAGTAACGGTAATAATGTTGCCGAAGAGCATTGTGAGATCATGTTAACTGATAGTTTCGCTCCTAGTAAATG